CAGGAACTTGAGATTTGAATGGACAAGTGCTGCCAATGCCACATGTTTCAAATGCAGGAGATGGGACTCCAAATACCACGAGATTGGCAAGAAGTTCATCAGATTAAGAACAAGAAGAGCCACATAACAATGGCGATCTACTTATTTTGGAGCCTTTCACAGATATGGCTGCAGTCATTTCCATTTTCTTTCTCAGGCTAGAAATGGACTGTTTTTAAGTAAAAGCCAAGAATCTCAGTTAATCATTTGATTCCAGGAATAAGCTTTTAAACACATCAAATCACAGGATTCCCCAGCAAACTGCTGGGGTTGTCAATGCATTTGTTTTATGAGCACAGGATGTACCAAGCCAGCAAGCAGGGCGCTCTCTGCCCTGTGGCACTGCCCTCACCATGGGTCATTATGCTGGCATCAGGAATGCTTGTGCAAATTTCCTGAAGATGATAAATACTCAGGCCCGTTAGAAAGCAGCAGTATCCAGACTGCAGCAAGCTTGTCGCTGCTAGAACTTGTAAACAAAGCAAAGGCATGCATGAACATTGCCTGAGCAGCCCAACCCGGCCCTTCCACACGTAGCCGGGCTGTTGGTGCCATGGCCAGTACGCTGGGCAGAGGGGTGGCATGTGAGCGAGCTGCATTTGGGAACTCTTTAAAAACATAATAGAAGCTGAAAAAGTTTTGCTACAAAGGACAGGTAGGAACGAAAGACTCAGATCCCTGGCTGAATCTGCAGAGTCAACAGTTATGGAAAACCAAACCAACCAAACCATCTTTTTTTTTTTTCTTCTCAGTGTGTTGTATACAAAGATATACTAGAAGGTAAGGGATCCTTTTTATATTTAAATGCATAGATGCTCTTTAGTGTAAAGAACATCCTTTGATCCCATCTGCTGCATTTCCCCCCACCTCCTCTCTCTCCCCAGCATCTTTTCCTTACTCCTTTGCTCTCAGAGCAGCCTCCAGCTAACCAGCAAGGTGAACAGCATGAAAACCCAAACAGGCAGTCCTGTGCTCACAAGACTAGACTCTCCAAGAAGTTGAGGGCTCAAGAGCTGAAACCAAGGACTAGTCCTGAAGTGTTGGGCATTTTCTCCCCTGGGCGGTTCTGGCTGAAATCAGGGGCTTTGACCCTACTATTTGACTGATCTGTTGAAATGCTGCTTGTAGAGCAGCACTGAGGCCATGACTGTGGCATATTAAACAGACCAAAAGTTCAGATGATCGCTCTGGTTGCCGTCATAAGAGATACTTAAAAATCAGTATGAGGTTCGCGCACTGTACCTGAACTGCCATTCAAAGGGATGGATGGTTCTTATCTCAGTCTCTGAAGCAAGATATACCACATACATGAGAGAAGCATCTGGATAGAGTGAGGTTGCATAGTGACACCTTTGTATCAAGTATTTGGGTGCACTGCCTCAGGCAGTGCTAATGGGAGGGCCACCTCCTTCCCTGTGCCTGAGACATGCAGCATCAGCCTGGATGAACCACCAGCTGGGTCTCCAGATCATGTACCAGCACTTCTCAGTGGCGGGGGCAGTAAGGTAAATAGCAGAGGAGAGCAGGAGCCACCACTCACTGCCTCTGTGGTGATGTAAGTGGATACCCAGAAAATCAGGCCCTTGTTATCAGTGCATACATGGCTCTTCTAGATGGTCTTCCAGCTGGAAGGAAGGAAACAGTTTCATTTAGCACATGGACACTTACCAGGATATTGATTTGCTTGTTGCATGTTGACCACATTCCTTCTTTGGTCTTTATAATCTGGTGGTGGTCGTGTCAAATGTCTGTTCAGCTGATCTTGTGGAGTGATTTTCTCCTAGAGGATTAGAGTAGAAATATATTAATTTGCTTTTCATTATGCTTTTGTGGCTCTGTGTTTTGCCCGCCTCTTTCTTTTCTCAGTATGTACAAAGCTGAAGTGTGGCTTCCGTTCACCCTGTCTGGTCGACAGGAGAGGCAGCTGTGAACATCTGCCATCATCCACTGAAGGCTGTATGGAAACCTTTCTGCTGGTTGTGTTGTGTTTGAGTCTGGTCTAACTTTCCTTAAAATCACTGAGAGCTGCTCAGCCTTTGCGAACATTGGCCATGCCTGCACTACAATACACAGTGTCCTCCGATGTCTGCACCATCTTGCTCACCATGCTCATCAGACTGAGGGCCCTGATGGTTCCTCATGGCTCGCTCCCTGTCTGTGCAGCTGCGTTTGCTTTCAGAAAAAGCACAGAGGCAGACCAAACACCCAGGTCTAACCCAAATACAGAGCCAGAATGCAGCTGTGGAGCAACGAAGGTCCAGACCTACAAGGTCCACACCCACCACTTGGCTGCATCAGTGTTCATCAACCCATTTCACCCATTCTGACTTCTCAGCGTGCACAGATGGTGAAGGGCATTTCAGCTTGTCATCCTCAACCCCAGCCATGCCCATCCCTCACTCTGTCCTTCCTCCTACCCTGGAGGAGCTCCCACAAAAATCAGCAAAACCCATTGCTTTGTCCTCCCCGGTGCCTCTCCTCACCAGGGATGCCAGCAGGACACACAGCCAAGGTTTAGCAAGGACAGTGATGTGCTGGGCTGGTTGGTTTTCATGCCACTCACCACTGCCCTGTGCTTCCCCATACACGCATGTGATGCTCTCATTCCTCTTACACTAGAGTGCAAGCACTGAGGGAGGGACAGCGGGGAAAGATTGCAGAAAAAGCCTTTTAGTGGGGGAGATTTTTTTATTTTGGGGCTGCAGAGACACAGCTCTGGTGAAGGGAAGATAGAAATCCAAGTCCTTGAACTGAAATCTGACTAACTGCCCTGTGTTCATAGAATCATAGAATCATAGAATCGTTTAGGTTGGAAAAGACCTTTAAGATCATCCAGTCCAACCATTAACCTACACTACCAAGTCTACTCTAAGCCAATCAAGGGTAGACTAGACTAAACCATGTCCCCTAGTGCCACATCTACCCATTTTTTGAACACTTCCAGGGATGGGGACTCCACCACCTCTCTGGGCAGCCTGTTCCAATGCTTGACTACCCTTTCCATAAAGAAATTTTTCCTAATTTCCAACCTAAACCTCCCCTGGCGCAGCTTGAGCCCATTTCCTCTCGTCCTATCGCTAACTACATGGGAGAAGAGACCAACACCCACCTCACTACAACCTCCTTTCAGGGACCGATAAGGTCTCCCCCCAGCCCCCTCTTCTCCAGGCTAAACAACCCCAGTTCCCTCAGCCGCTCCTCATAAGGCCTGTGCTCCAGACCCTTCACCAGCCTTGTTGCCCTTCTCTGATCGGGAAAGCGCAGGCACCAGAGTCAATGCCAAATCGTCAGCATTACTGTGACTTGATGCCTCCAGAGTGCTACTGCCTGCCCACGAGCAACAAATCCTCGGGATACATGGCCCCACGGCAGGAAAATGTGGGTTTGACCACCTCAGCCACTGGTAAGGCTTTGCCGGTGCACGTGTGCCTCCTGGAGTCATGCTTACTGGGCAGCTGCTGGGCAGGCTTCACCCCTTCTCTGCAATGTGTCTGGCTTTCGTGGTTGGCTGCTAGAATGGCAAACTGGGTGTCAGTGTGAAAAAGAGTCAGGCCCTGGCTGGTGTTGGATGTCCATCGGAGTAACTGGGGGATCCTCTGCCTGAAAACAGCACACACACAGACCTTCTCGCAAAAAATCTGTTTTTTCTTCTGCCAGGAGCACTTTAAAACACTGGGATAAGACCCTTTCTTGCGGTATTTAGGCATTTCTGTAATGCACTCTGGGAGTGAGGGGTCTGATTAAGATTTATAAGGCTCATTTTAACATACCACTCGACCTGAGCCCTTATGAAGAAGATGGACAAGTTATCTCCCAGGAAATCCCTGCAATACATGTAAAAACTGTAGGCAGGCTTTGTGCGTATTTCTATGAATGTGATACAAAAGCAAATGCAAGCAGATCAAAAAACTACATTCTACAGAGTGATTTTGATTTTTATTTTACTTATTTTTAAGAAAAGCTACATGAGCAATTAACTTTCTGTTCTGCTAAAGATTCTGACATAAAACTGCAGCATTTTGAGCTGACTTGAAACTTCAGTTTTCTTCTGCATAAATTAAAAAGTCAACAAATATTTCCCTCATAGGACAAATGAAATCCTTAATTTCAAACTTTTGGAATGGAAGTAAATTTGTAAACAAAAAGTTATTCTCTATAAAAAACTGAATAATTTTTTTTAAAACATCCCCACAAAACCATGAATGTTTTACCACTTCTGTGTTGTTCTTTAATTACTGAATGGTATTCACTAAATGTGTCAGTATTTCTGAGTCTACATCTTTATAGAGAAAAGAAAGTTTTGGATTCAGAATGTCAGGCCAGCATGAACGGGTCTGCCCTGTAGGCTGAGAGATGCAGGTTGAGGTAAAAAAGCCACAGGCTCGGGGTCTGCTGTCATTGCAGCCTGGGGGAAGCAAAGCAGGTGGTGGTGTCACCCCCACCCTTCCCCAGAATCCTCCCTGCAGCCCTTCCCTAGTTGCCGCAGGGCACCTGTGTTGCTTTCTGCCTACCCCAAGGACATGCCAAGCTCAGCTCCTCTTCTAGGACTTCTCTCTTCTGCATGGTTTGGGAAGCAGGACTACGAAGGAATGGAGAGTACGAGGATACAGAGGGCACGTGCTACTGCTCTGGGCAGCGGGGACTCCCCCCCATTGCACTGGCCATGGGTGATGGGCCATGAAGCACCTTCAGCTGAATCAGTTTGTGCATTATCAATGGCAATGCCAGTTTAGTGGAACAAAACCGATGGGTTCTAGTATTTATCACTCCCAACAAGACCACAAATATCCCCCACGCCTCATAAAATGACCAGAAACTCCCAGCTGGTCTCTCAGACACCAAGGGAGAGAGAAGAACTGGTTACAAATATTTGGAAATGCAAAAAGAAAAACAGAGAAAGGAGGACTCATGTATGATCCCACCCAAGCACACAAACTTGTGTTGAATACTAAGATCGATGTACCTGATCCTTGTTTACACCCAGGCACTTTATACCATGCTGTCTAGGTTGCAGAGCCTGGAATTCAACTTTCCTCTGTGGTCGAACTAGCGTAGCAGTGCACCTTAGCTTATCTTGCAAAGCAAACTACTAACAATATTCTTATGCCTCAAATTAAGCATATGCTTAGACTGTTCTCATAATGAAACCACAGTAGCTCAGATATTTGAGTTGTTTCATATAAACTGAAGAAGATTTCAGAAAGGCTTAGCAAAATACTGAAAAATATGAGGCACCCTCTAGAAGGTCTAGGCATTGCCAAAATGACCTCAAAGTTTTGGGGGCTTTCTTCCCTCTGTCTTAGCTTTCTTTTCTATTGTTTCTATGATAATCTTTTCCATGTAAAATAAGGAATTGGAAAACTTACGGCTTCTGCCAACATCTGCTGCTGTAGAAGGAGTTGTTTTTGCTCCATCATTTGCCGTTGCAGAGCCTGTTTCTTTTCCATCAGTTGCTGATTCAACATTGATTGCTGGGATGAGTTCATGTAACCACTTCCAGTGTTTGGATTTGAGCAAGAACTGGAGCTTGGAGTGGGGCCAGCTCCCTGGCCTACCACAGAGTGTTGATCCTGAAACAGAAGAAATGGCTCGTGAAGGATGAAAATAATAACAAGCATCAAGAAAAGGAAATAATCCTTTTTATGCAATTAGCTCAAGTACGGGACACAGCCCACAGACTCTCAGGACCAGCGACCGATACAAAGGCTTTGACAAAATAAGGAGTGGATTGAGTAACTTCATCGCTCATGGAAGACTCTGAAAACATGCCAGGTGGTTCCAGTGGAAAACCTCAGTGCTGTACCAGGAGCTTGGGAAATGTTAACAGAAGTAATGGAACCATCCTTGGGATCTTTCAGGAAACTTGCATCGGGCCGTATGGCAGTTTGTTTGACCACAAGGGAAGAAACTCGGCGTCTGCTGGTTCCTACCATCTGGCAAGCAGCAGCAAGAAGTTACAGACTCACTGCTAGAAGTGGCATCTATTCTTAGAAAATACAGAAGAGGTAAGTTGTTACTTTGCAGTAGGGTGAGTGGTGCCGCTTTCATTTGTCCCGTCACCTCCCTGACAAGAGCAATCTCTGAGAGACTGCTAATTGTCTCCCATTAGCGGCAGGATTAAATAGGCTTAGAGTTTATCAACTTCCTTGGTAAAACAAATGTGTAACTGGACAGGACTTTGAAGAGGGCTTTAGGGTCTCCCTGGTCTTTGTGGTGGATCTAGCTCTGCTTCCTCTTCCCTGTGTGCAGCTTCATGAGAAAGGAATGGCAGAAAGTAATCTCAGGGAGCAACAAGGAAGGTACTTGGGAACTCAGACCACGCACATACAGGATGAGAATGAACATGGGATGACAATATGCTGCTCATTTTCTTTTACCCATGGTTTGCCTTGACAGCAATATGTTTTCTGTCTACTTGCTCCACCACTGTTTGGTACTTGGACCTTTACCAAATGTAGGAAATAGTTTTCTCAGTCCACACACACAAATGTGTTATCCCACAAAAGTATTCAGCCTATGTTGGATCACTTGATAGTCAGGTATTCCTTAGCTGCCCAGCTGCAAAGAAAATAGGAGACACTGGAAAGGTCACAAGAGTCATGAGAAACATCAGTTTTCTGACTCCACTTTGTTGCAATTCACCCTAGGAACCAAACCGCTTAATTCTGTATAACCGTAATATATCAGTGTATTTGCTCCACAACATAGGAATCCCCAACAGCAGCACTGGTGCTCCCTGTTATACAGCGGTTCTCTCAATACTGAGGTGTAGTCCCGAGGTCTGGTCTGTTACCTAAGTAGAGCTCTCCTCCATGGCCATTGCCTCCCATGGCATCCAGGGAAATACGGGCTGACCAACAGCGAAGCAAGGACTGGCCAGGCATAGCCAACTCACGCCCTGAAGACAGTGGAGCACTGAAGCTCATCACTTTGCAAACTCCAGGAAAGCTCATTTCTGTGCCTTAGTTTTTGCACACACTCCCCCAAACAATAACACAGCCACAGACACACACACACTACAAACTAATCCAACTTATCTTTCTACCATCTGGCATGGAAGAAACACAATGATTGTTATGGGTATTTCTATTTTAAAATAATTCTGTGGCTTTTAGATGGGGCCACACGAGTGTGTAGCTAGCTAGATAAAGTATTTGACGTCTGTTACTGAAATAAAACCCATGACTTTCTTCTGGAGCCACCTGCAGCCCCCAAGGCAGTGTTACAAACCCACCCTTCAAAATTTATTGGGCTCTCACACAATTATATCCCGCACACTTTCTTTCAGTTCCAGAAGGAATCCAGGATTGCTCGGCACTGCCACATTTTTCAGCCCTTATGTTAGCTGCAAGATAGAAAATACCTCCTCTCAACAGATCTGTTTGCCAAGTTGTTGCGCAAACTTTTTTGTCTTTCTTAAAATATTTTGAAAAGAAAAATATGTTTCAATAAATTGGCTTTGACTTCTATATTCAAATGACAACTCTAGCTTGAGCCCAGCCACATGTTACATCCATTAATAGAATTCATCTGTTGTGTTTTTGCACAGATAATGCAGGCTCCCCCAAATGCGCTTTCATAGTCCTGCATAAAAAAACCCCCAACAAAGTCCAACTTTTTCTCTCCCTCATCCCCTGCCAGCCCATATAAGCTGTGGGGAGGGATTTTGTTTTAAGATAAACCGCGTACTGTCCATTCAAGATACCTATCAAAGAAAGCTCTTCTGTAATAGCAATTGGCACAAAACACCAGCTGCTTGGCAAACAGGCCCTGAGAAAACAGTATAAATCATCAACTTGGAGCCAGTTTGGGTTTTTTTTGCATTTGGTCCTTTCTCTGCTGTTCATGAAATGTTAGTGTGAGCCTATGAATCTACGATGTGTTACTTCTCCTGCCTGCTGATCGTCCATCAGCAGTGATGTGATGGGAGAAGGAAGACCAGTTTCCTAATAAATCAGGGGATCAGCTGCACGGCAGTTTGACCCTTTGTGAACTGGTGCTATCGAGCCTTACTCTCACCCCACGCTTGCATCACTGCAAATCAGAAGGCAGAAGGGCTACACTGCTGCCAGGGACGTGGGGCTCTGCCCCTGTGCTTAGATAAAGCACGCTTTCCGACATCCCTGCCAGGGAACGGGAGATTTGGGTTGGAGCTACCCTGCTTTCATTGAACCATTTCATCCTGCTCTAAGCCTGGCTTTACTGCCGCAGCTTTACTACGATTCCACATATCTAAAGCTGCTGGTGGCCTTTTGAACTTCATTCCTCGGTTCCCATGCCTGCGGTTTACGCACTTTAACTTTAGAAACACCTGACCAAAGAAAGCCCGGAGTGGGACATACGTGTCCCCTCGCCCATGGGAGCCTCTGCCCAGCATCTTGCCTGCATGGTGCCTTGCCTGCACGGTGACACACACCTTCTTTTCCCTGCATGGGGAAGGTAACCCTCTCCCCACTTTGCCTCCCAAGAGGTGATGTGACGGGGGAGCACATCCCCAAGCCAGCCAGGCGTTAGGGATGGGCTGGAAGCATCACACCTCTGACAGGTACAAGTGTCAGTCTGGGTTTGCCCCCAGCTCCCGCTCCACTTGCTGCCACCTCTCATGCACGCTGCATCCCTCCAGCCACGCAGACGAGCTGCAGCCCTTGCAGGGACATGCCTTGGTGCCAGCTGGGGCAGGGGCAGCAGGCAAGGGCTGAGCTAGTGTTCACCAAGCACCACAAACCCCATCTGCTTTGCTGGTGCCGAAACTCCAGCACAGTGGTGCTCTAGGTGCAAAGCAGGCACATTGCATCCCATTCTCTGATGTTACAGTGAAATATAAAACCTACGAGAAGCAGGAAGAGTGTCAGAAGCAGTGAAATCTCCTCAGAGCTGGTAGCACAGCTGAGGTTTTGTTCATAAGCATCACAAAGAACATTATGCTCAAATGTTTAAATTAGCAGTAAATCAAAACATTTAAGACTGAGTTTGCCTTGCACTATCCCTGCTGGAGCTGACTTGTGTTCATAGAGATGAAGGGAGGTTTTGCCCTCTAACACACATAAGGACTTTCCAAAATCCCTTCCCTTCCCTTCCCTTCCCTTCCCTTCCCTTCCC